ACATTATGCAAAACATAATGTCACATAATGTAATGTAGACATTTTAAAATTTAAAAGTGTATATAGAAATTACTATACAATTTTAATGCAACAAAATTAATAAAATATTATATTTTATATCATACGTAATACTAAGTGATATGTAGCATCAGTTAGTAATGTCCTATCTGTATAAAGCAGGCTAACTAATATGAGATTTGAAAATACCATAAAATAGTAAACTTCTATCTAGAGATAAAAAAGATTGGGTGTGAATCTTGCTTCTTGATTTAGTAGAACACTATGATTGCATAATGTCGCATGCTGCATTAATGCAATGCAGAGCCAAAAAAATATGCATTCGCACATCTCTAGTTACAACTGATCGTTAGTGTGCACATTGCATGATTCGATGCCTAATTAAGTCCTTTTTTTAAATTGATGCAAAGTTTTACAAAACTGATGCACGAAAAAAATTTCTGTAACTTTATTTGTAGAAAGTAATAAATGGAAATAAATATCGAGAAAAGCCCACAAGATTCTTTTTAGTGTTGCCACCTTTATCTATTAAAGTATCTATCTATATTTTCAATAATATCTAAATCAATATCTTTTAATAGTAATGATTGAAAGTTTTACTTTATAAACTTCTTCCTTCAGAAGGTTTGGATAGTTCTATCCTATGCCATTTGCAGCTATACAACTTAAACTACTTTGCATATTACGACCAGGGCGGCCAGGTCTGTCATGTTGGGTTTCATATGTATATCAAACAAAGTAAATGGTATTTCTGAGCTAATGGCCTCACGATTTGTGCAGCCTTTTCACAATCTTGGGCGACTTGTTTATATATTGCATTCTGCGCTTCTTCGTTGCTAATAAATGTACTATTCTCAATTACAGCAACAACTCCACTATATGAAGCAATACCGTTATTATGATTAAATCTCTTTACTGATGGTAAGTGCCAATATTTATTAAAAATGGCATTTTTAAAATTAATATCATATTTTCCAAGGGGGCATAATGGTGGCTGTGATCTCTTCCCCTTCCAAATATTTTTCAAAAATTAAAGTATCTCCATACTCAAAGCAATATTGACCATCAATTACAGTTCCAGTGGATAGAAGCTTTTCTGCATATTCCTTCATTTGTTCAATAGAATCAATCTTTTTAACGCCCTGACTTCTCCGGCCACGTATAGGTTTAATAACAGCAGGAAATCGGATACCTTTCTTCTTTAAAATAACTAAAGTTATATCATTCAATGGGTATGTACCATTATATGTAGAATTTACAATAAGAATTGCACGAGGAACTTAATTCATTAGCAAATCATTTGTTATCAAATTTGTGTACATCTGATGGAAGATGACCAATAAGCTTAATATCTTCTATAAAGTTCATATGATTCAATGTATGAGTATTGAAGAGAAGAGTATTTGCCAAAGAGTTTTTGCACCTTTTGAAATTGTTGTACTTATTCCTTCTTCTGTGTCAGGAAAACCCCAATCCAAATCAGAAATTGGACTAGGATTATCAACAGGGGTAACTATAGGAATATTGTTGGATCTCACAGAATAGGCGATATCAGCTCTGCTATCACTATAACCTCCAGGTTTTAATGGCTTCCGAATTCCATCAATTATAGGAGGTTGAAGTGCTTGGTACAAAATAGCAACTGGGCTGAATTTCTTAACTTCAGGAATGTTGCTTGACTTCCTGACAGTCATTTCCCTGACAGGCCATCTTACCCACATCACAGGATGATAATTTAGTATTTGTTAGTTGGTGTTAGATTTTGTTAAAATTTTCACGCAGTATAATTGTTGGTTAAATAATAATAATTTCTAAAACTTATATTTTTTTCCTTTATTATACAAACTTTTGTCTAATCTAATACCTGTATTTATTTTCTTGTATTTGGAAGCGTAATTATTATTATTATTATTATTCTTTTTTTTTTTTTTTTTTTTTTTTTTTTTTTT